GAGCATACTCCTGTCTCTATCACCTCCTGCAGTTTTGTTGCCTCACGTCTCTCCCTCTGACCCTCTTTACAACAAAAAATATTTGTCTTTTTCCAGAGTCAGTTCAGTGATTCTGTCCTTGAGACACATTTTTATGTGAGGGTCGTGTGTTCAGGTTAAACTGCAGTGTGAACATCCAGACTGCAGAGCCTTCTTGTGCTGCCATCTAGTGGTTACTCCATGCTCTGTCCCCACACTGTGCAGCTGAGCACATCTCAGTGCACAATGCTACAGCTCATGTAGGTGTGGTCACATGAACAACACGCCTAACTAATGAGTGATGTTGGAAGTACAACAGCAGTGCCTTTTCTACATGCAAGATTTAGTGTGGAGCTGCTTTTTATAGAGTGACTAAATGCTCACACACAAAAGACTCCTCCATCCCGTCACAGAGACAGCATGTCGTCTGATTAAAGAGGGATGCAGATTTTTCTTTAACGTGGTCCACACAGAAGCTTTGATAGAAAGTATAGAAACTCTCTTCTCCTCTTCTCTCCACAGTATATAGACTCAGCGAATTTGGAGCCGGCCACTCTGCAGGAGGAACCAGTGAAATACCACGAGGCGTGGCAGAAACTCTGCAGTGCTGAGTGAGTGCTGAGACACTGTCTTTTGTTAGTAATACAACCTGGACATTACATTTGTAGTTTCATCATCTGTTTTTCCTCCTAATCCGCAGTGGCATCTTGGTTCCAGGAGGTTTTGGCGTCAGAGGAACAGAAGGAAAGATTCATGCCATCAGCTGGGCCAGGAAACAGAAGAAACCTTTCCTAGGTACGGGACAGCTGTCAGGAAAACTATTATCACACTATCTTACCTCATATCTATTCTGCGATAACTGTTTTCACATTTGTTATAGAGAAATGAACTGATATCCTCTGCAGGTGTGTGTCTGGGGATGCAGCTGGCTGTATGTGAATTTGCCAGGAACACACTCGGCTGGGCAGGTAAGGTTAATACTCCCATGTAGCTAAACTGAACTTGTGCAGTATGACATGTTAAAGAATAGCTGAAAGTAACCAACACCGAAATGTTGTTCAGATGTGCTCTGAAGTTTCCTCATTTTTCTATCCCTATATCAGGGGAAACATGAAGCAGGACTTTGTATTATGGTCCGAGTACAACTACTCAGCACAAAGTAGTGTTTTTAAGAAATCGGAGTTCTGAATAATTTCTTCAGATTCATCTGCTTAATTCTTTAGATTTGACCGTCATCTTAATAAAACAATTTCCCAAAGTGATGAATGTAGTAGTCCTGACGAGTTAGCAAGCTTTAAACATTTTGTTGGTTGTGTGTTCAGTTGTCAGAGTCAATATTCCAACAGCAAACTTAACGTCTACAGAACTCTGACGGGATCACAAGCATTTCAGAGTTAACGTGACTCAGTGTGTCGTGGTTGCTTGTAGCAATGGCTGTTGTTGAACACGTAGGTGTCCGTGTAAAAGCCTTCAGTATGACTTTAACCATACATACATAAATACATAGCCATCTGTGTTTATTATCTACACTAGCTATTTACGCAAGTTACTGTGAGCAACCACCGGCAAATTTGGCTCAGTGTCAAGCCTGATTTATATTCCTGCGTTAAATGCCGTGACACCGTCGTGAACCCTTCGAACTTCTCCGTTACTCCATTTCGTTGCGGTGCCAGAGTGGTAGGGGGCTGCGTTCCTTTCCTGAATGGTTATCGTCATCTCTAGTTGATTCTTTTAGCTTCCGGCTTTTCCGGTCACAGTGAACAATGGCGACCGAGGGAGAGAGAATCTTGCTGGAGTTGGAGTTGTTGGATGTCGAAGAAAGTGTTAGTACTGCAACATCTACATCGCAACAGAAGATGTTTAAAGATGACGGGGATGGCGCAATCTGGAAATACGGAACTGGAAATGTGTTGCTACCAAGCAAACCAATCACAGCCCTCTCGGTCTGCGCTGGGTCTGCGCTGCCTCGACGAGTAGTTACATTTTTTGGGAGGTGCACGTCAGGCTACGCTGCGGGCTACGGCGAGCCTCCTGCGTAGCCACGTACCCTACAACGTTGGTATGTTGTTGATTTAACGCAGGACCATAAATCAGGCTTCACAAGTTAATATGGTCAGTAGTTAAACCGAAACACAGGTGGTGTCTGCAGTTGCTACTTAACATGTTGACGACCACTGGACTGAAATCTCGTTCCAGTAAGGCAGAAGCAGGACGTTAACGTTAGTTTTCTGGTGTGTGAATTATAACATGAGCATATTCATACTGGTCTTGTGTCCTTTGGCTGTAGAGGATTTCTTATTTCAAAATACAAAACTCTAGTCTGGTTTATGGTTTTTGACGTTCTGTACATGACTGCAGATAACGTAGTCGTAAGCACCTAGCCACTTGTATGCTTTTAATTTCTCACAGGTGTACATGCTGTTTCTCCACCAAATGCATGTATATTTATATATACCTGGCCACTGAATACTGTGCCACTTATGTCTTCTACACGTGTTTACATAAAGTAACAGATTTCATAACTTTATCTGTTTCTCACTCAGACGCCAACTCAACTGAATTTGACCCAGAATCAAAGCATCCTGTGGTAAGACCTTTTTTTTTTAAATTCAGAAATGATGTCTTTGTAATTTGACTTGAGTTGTGCGTTGACTTGAGATTGTCATGTTGAACCTTTGCAGGTGATCGACATGCCAGAACACAACCCGGGGCAGATGGGAGGAACCATGAGGCTTGGGAAGAGACGGACCATTTTCAAGACCAACAACAGTGTATTGCGTAAGAAGAACTCTGAGATGACTTACAGCCCAGTGTTGGTGTGCTGTTGTGTCTGCACTGTGCTCACAGCTGCTCTGTATTCCAGGCAAACTTTACGGAGATGCAGAATACGTGGATGAAAGGCACCGACATCGCTTTGAAGTATGTTGAACTCTCAGTTCACGAGCAGTGCAATCCGCTTTGCTGACAGTGTAGTGGATGTATTTTTTATTTTTTTACCTTGTCGTCCTTGTGCAGGTCAATCCAGAACTCAAGGGCCACTTTGAAGACAAGGGCTTCCGTTTTGTAGGTCAAGACGTCGAAGGTGAACGAATGGAGGTCATTGAGCTGGACGGTACGATAAAGGAAACGCTGAATTGCTTTTTAGCTTTTGGGTGATCGTGTTTGGGGTTTTTCAAGGTCGGCAGCTCCACTACAACCTTCTGCATACTTTATTTTCAGATCATCCTTATTTCGTCGGAGTGCAGTATCACCCTGAGTTCACCTCTCGCCCCATTAACCCATCACCCCCCTACCTTGGTTTGCTACTGGCTGCAGCAGGGAAGCTGCAGAGCTACTTACAGAAGGGCTGCCGTCTGTCGCCACGGTAAACACGCACTTCTACTCATTCACACGCTTCAAGTATAGACTCCATTTATCAGATTAATAACTAACATTCTCGATTTGCCACAGGGATACATACAGTGATCGCAGCGGCAGCAGCACGCCAGACTCTGAGATATCAGAGCTGAAATTGCCTTCAGTCTCTAATGAGTGACTCAGAGGTACAATACTTATAAAAATGTTCATGTTTTCATTTGCATTACGAGTCATTATTATGAAGTGCATGTATACCTTCACCTGGGGATGAGCCAGTGATGCTAAAGCCGGTTTCCACTTCTGTAAGGCATTGTCAAATGAAGAATACTACGTGACTGATCATGTTTGAAGCCTTTTATGTCATTAGTGCTCCGTTTAGTTGCAGCTAGGCACGTTAGCTCTGGTAGTTACTGCTACGCTCCTCCAGGTAGTTGCTTTTCAATGTACACCGGGTTTTAACAGATCTGGGAGAGACTGCATTTTCCTACTGTGCACCGTGGTCATGGAACAATCTTCAAAAAGATTTAAAATTAGAAACACTTATATCCATCAATGAATTTAAGGGCATCATTAAGAATGTGGTGACAAAGACATGTGCTTGTTTTTCTTGAGGCTACATATTGTGGAATTTGTGTTTTGTTGTATTTTAAATGTGTTTTGATTGGCTGCTACCTTGGTCAGGTCTCTCTTGTAAAAGATTTTCAATCTCATGGGGCTCCCTGGTTAAATAAAAAGTCAAATGAGAAAATCAGAAGTACGGCAAAATGTTCACCTGATGCAATATAATTAAACTAGTAAGGTAATTTAATGAATGCCACTCTCCAGTCACATTGCGATCAGTATCAAATGTCATGTACAGCCACAGTGACACTGGGCCCTAATGATACTGTTTGCAGGTCAGCCAAAAAAGTGGGCTACTTTGGATAATGAAATTATGTAATATTGCACAAATCCATCTACATTTATCCTAAGTGCCAACATCTTGACGTTTCGCCTCTCATCCAAGAAGCTTCTTCAGTTCTAAATGACTGGTTTGATGTTACGACTCTGCAAGGGTTCCCACCCACACAGGGTTTATAGCCTGTAAGGGTCATGTGAGTTTTAGTTTCAGAGTTGCTAAGGTCAACCTGGCCACCATGTGAGTCATTTGGGTCAGGTGGGACCAGGGGTGAATGGGTGTGAAGTCTTCTACATGTAGTGACAGACTATGGTGCTTTTGGCCCAAATCTTGAAGGGCTGCTACAAGCTGAAGTACCAATGCTTCATCTAACAATCACTGACTCTTCTCTTGACAGCGTTGCTCATACTTCTGGAGTTGTTGGGACGCAGACTTTGGACTCCCAGGCACTGACCGAGGCAGATTTTTCCTTCAGTGAAGCGGACTACAGACTGCTGTGAATGAAGTGTTGGGTTCCACCCCTGGAATGAATTGAGGCTCAGCAGGACTTTGACAACCTGCCTCTTGGTAATGTGCTGCTCCAGTGTAACTGACCTTATCTACTCTGACACTGTTGTGGCCTTAATGTAAATAAGTCCTGTTACATGAACTACAACCATTTATGCTTATTCTAAACTTGTCTTCATGAATAGAAAATGGGGAAACAATAAAGGGATTCTCAATAAAGTCATTTTGTGCGTTTTATTTCAATGACAGTGAACAGTTTGACTCACTTAGGTTTTCAAAACTGTATTAAGTCTAACACCTTTGTAATGGTGCAGTTAGTGCCACACCATCAGTCATGTTCCTACTAGACACTTTGGTCTAGTGAACAAATGTTGGCCCCATCGCTGTTACTTCCTTGTCGACAGTGCGCTGTGGTGAATCCAGACACTTTGATTCCCAACGGCATTTGTCCAGACAACACGCCACTGGACCTGAAATAATAAAACCAAATTTAGTGCAATTCAGCAGTCTGTTATAGACCGTATACAACAGGCTGATCTCAGTCCCATATCCGCAAGCTTCATCCAAACAGTCCTCATTGTTGTATGTGGTCATCATAGATCAGAAAGACAAATAATGCACAAGAATATATGTTTACATACCTTCAAACAGGACAGTGATGATCCCATGCAATCCAAGGAGATCAGACAGACGCTCGTGGACAGATTGATGCCTACAGTAGATGAAAGATTGTTAGAATCATGTAAAGTGTGGCATATTATCTCTCCTAGCTGCTGCCCTTTCAAACTGCAAATCTGTAGGACAGCTGAGTGGCTGATGGTGGCATGAGAGGCCACAACAGTCAAAGACCACCCTATTTTCTGGCATGCACTTGGAGAACGTAGAGCTACACACAAGCTCCCGTCCTTAGGATAGCATGCTGCAACAATGACAAATCATTCAGGTGATTTTAAAGAATCGTTACCTTGATACAAGATGACCTCATCCAGTCACGTTTGGTTCAGCCATGAGGATCACCTAAAAATGGAGCAATTGTTAATTATTTTTCCAAGCAGTGATGGAATAAACTTAATTGTAGCAGATGTGGCTCAGGTACACTATATATGTCTCAATCAAGACTTGTATCAGTGAGGGCAAGTTTGTCATCACAGCCAGAAACAGTTAAATTTAAGATGTGGCTCATAAAGTACCTGCATGTGATCTGTTCATCTTCATGTTTCGCCCTTCCATCTTCAACTGTAGCCAAAACCTGCAGAAAGATGAAGTAACATGTTTAGTAGAGAAGACATTACTTTTGATCAGTCATAAATCCCATGATCTAGTCCAAGTGTCCTTCCCCTAAATGTTGCTGGAGCAGTTATTTTCGAACTGAACAGCGACCGTCGGTGAAAGTCTTCATCTCGGCTTCCTTTTGACCGTTCACTGCTACAGGAGAGCATGAACGGCTTCGATAGGAGCCTGTTATATAGAAATGGTATGTAGTCCTGAATCAGAAACATACCTGTGTTTCTGACAGACATCCATGGTTGGAGTGGCAGGTGGAGCTTCTACTGCAGGTTGACTCTGCAGAAAGAAAGATCAGGTTAGTGTATGCTCTACAGTGCTGCAGAAGGTTCACTAAAGGGGTTTAAGAGTCAGGATTTTGCAGAATCGTTTATATTAAGTGTTCAGAGTTTTTAGGAAGAGAACACTAGATTATCAAAACTAGTTAATTATGTTGGTAACTATAGCTGCCTCCGTCATCAAGTTTGTGCAGATAATCTGACATCTTACATTGTTTCCATGCAACAAAGACTACAAGTATCAGATTTAACGCTTTAAGACCATTCAAGACACCAAATTTAGGACAAATCATGTTTTACTTGTTTAAATGTCGCAGGTAAGCAATATTGGCAAGTAGTATGTAAAGTAGTCTTGAGCAGAAGTACGTGTTATGTAGGAATATGGTTGAGTGAGCTGAGTCAATCTACATTTTGCCAACAGGTAAGTGCATGTATGAAGTAAAATTTTTATTAGTTTTTTAAAGATTTGTAACATTTTAACGGGAAATTCCATAGAAAGGCTTCACCCATTCCCCCAAAAGGAAATTAAAAATAGATAAACATAATTAGATTAAGTGTCTGCAGTAGTTAGAACCTCACATATTCAAAGTTAAGACAATTTACTGACTGTTGCAACACTGATTTTTAAGACATTTTTAGGCTTTAAGGACTTTCTGTGACTATATTGACGTTAAACAAGCCACATAAAGCTTGGTGCATTGCAGCAAAATGAGGAAAACCGCCATCTTAAGGTCTGTTATAATATTTCTGAACTTCAGTTTAAGAGGGATCTTAACGACACCACGTGGTTCACACATACTAGCGTTGAGCTAGCATAAAGCTAACAACTAACTCTTAGCCTACCTAGCATCTTTTTTATTTCTAAAAAGCCAACGCAATGTGGGTTATTCCGTAAATATAACACCGTGCTGTAAATGTGAAGCATTCGCGTTACAGCACCCTGTGAGGCTACAGTAATATGGCCACGTAAGCTAGCACTAGCTTTACTTGCTAGCGCGTTTCGTGTTGCCCAGCCGTTTACGTTATTAAACCCAACTCTTCTGTGGGACATACACACGTAAGCTAGCGTAGAAAAGTATTTTGTACATTGCTTCACATGTACATGTAACTTATGTGACATATTTATGAGTTAAAGATTAGTTCAGGCCTCACCGAAGTTCTGTACTGGCTCCACTTCGTCTCCTCGCGGACAACTTGAAAAGGAAGAGGCAGAAAGGAGTGTCCCGTTCCGTTATATACGCTAGCGCCGAGCCGCCGCACTCTGATTGGCCCGCGTAGCTCACGTGGACCCCTTTGCATGACGGGATATGTATTTTGGCAAGCGTTTAGGGACTCCTTGTTGTCTTGTAGATTTATCGCCACTTTGACACGTTAATACCGACAAAACAGAGATTGTGACGTCTCTGTGAACACGTTATCCCCACAGAGACACACAGAAGTGAATATGTTGTGTGTAAAGAGAGAAATATGTTAAAGAGTCCGGTCATAGCTGGAGCTGAAGCCTCTGTAGTTCAGAACCACGGACAGCAGCCACTGAGTTAGCCATATGCTTTGTGGTTTGGAGATAACAACAGTGCAGTGTCATGCTCTAAACAGACAGGTGCGACATATTGCTCTCATATGGTGATGATATTTCATGTGCACTGGAAGAATGTGCTAGAATATCACACAGTGTTGACAAAAGTCTCTGGGTGGGTGCAGCTGATTGGTTAAATGAGGCTTGGATAACCTCAATTGTGTTTTACTTATCTGTGACTCTTTCATAACACACAGCTGCCTCACTGACGGCTGCAGGAGGTTTATAGTTGAGATATCCCGGGTAGTAGAGCATAGGTAAATGTAACATCACATGATTGCTGCGCTCTCTCAGTGCTCCGCGTCTCTTCCTGAGCAGAAGGCAGCAGCAGGAGCCGCAGCCGCAGCAGCAGCCGGGGCTTCATGTAAACACACCGTGCACAGGGCTTTGTTTCCCACACGCTCCTCCGGCATCCCCCAGCTAGTCATGCCATGGATATTTTGTGGCAATACCAGTTCAGGATCATTTTACTCGGGGATTCCACGGTGGGGAAGTCGTCGCTGCTGAAGCGCTTCACGGACGGGATTTACAGTGATGTGGCGGATCCGACGGTCGGGGTAGATTTCTATGCCCGCTCGCTTGACATCGAACCCGGGGTGAAAATCAAGCTGCAGCTCTGGGACACGGCCGGACAGGAGCGATTCAGGTATGAACTGCATCAAATGTATCTTACATAAAATGCCTCTAATTGAATATAAGCATCATACACCACCGAGTAGATTTGGCGTTAAATAATGGAGAGGCCTTAGGTCGCTGTCGTGTTTGGCTGCTATTGTAAAATGAAACCCCCTTAAATTAAACGGCCATTTCCCCTCTCATTGTGATGTAATGAAGCAGACAGTGGAGAGCAGGGTCAAGAGATTATATAGGCCTCGATCTTATGATGGTCTGCAGCCTATATAAATCAGTGGAAATCGAGTTGCATCATTCACCCACGGATGATGGGCAGCCTCCTCATATTTAGGCCCCAGCTTGATTCCCTGAGACACTGACTCCACAGTCTCCAGGGCAACACAAGGATGTCAACCCCCTGCACCCGAATCTAGTTTTGCATTCATCTGTCCTGTTGCTTGTTCTGTTTCATGTGTCCTCGCTGTCATGGATAATTTCCTTTATAGCAGCATCCAGTCTGGAGACGCAAGCTCGGCTCTTAGATCTGCTTTCTCTTTTGAAGACAAACCTTCAGAGGGTGTTTTCCTTTCAGGCTTCACCACACTTTCACTTCTGTCTTAACCGACTGTGAGAAGTGTTTATGAAATCAGTCAGTAATGTTTAAACCACCCTGTGCAGGGATTGGGACTTGTGTAACCTGTGTATGTGTGTATTAATAGACCCTTGCAAGGCTGGGCCAATGGGGGGCAACAACACAGGACCTTTAGGGACCCCAAGGGGCCGATGTTTACAGTCTGTGTGTGGTCAGATGGTTCATTTCAATTAATTTGGTTCACATCCCCAGCAGGGCAGTTACCGCATTTTGAGGCCTCATCTTGTCTTCGGTGTCCTGTGTCACAATCTAGTTATAATATTGCTGTTATTTAATCAGTATTGTGCACAGGACTGCATAATGAAAATGCCTAAATGCATTTAAAGTTGCACTTACAAACTGACACACAGCAAACCTGATACTATAGCACAGGATCACCAGATGGTTTTGGGGTCCAAAGTCTAATTATCCTCAGTGTGTGTGAAGGAGAATATGGATCTCTTCGGAGCTGTAAGCTTGAGATAGACTTAAGTCACAAAAATCAAGACATGAGGCCTGACTTGGACTCGACTGCTGTAAGACTTGCTATACTTGAGAGCCTTGTCTCCCCTGACTTGATTCAGGATTTCAACTTTAAACAGAATTCCAGCTTTGGTGTTGACCTCGTAAAATTTCACAACAATACAAATAAATTGGACAGGGTCAGGAAGGCCTTGCATGGCCTGCCTTAAATTAGTTGTTAGTATGCACTGAAGATACTTAGTTAAACACCACTGAAGGGAAAATGTTCAAATCATTTTAGTGATCAGGATTTAGTGACCTGAAAGACTTGACTTGCGAGTTGCATATTAAGATTTGATTTGGACTCGCCTCAACTGACCCTCAGACGTGCTAATAAAAGCACTGACGTTCTTAGTTATACTTCCATGGGGTGAGACTTGACATGGACTTGTCTTGACTGACCTATGACTTAACTTTGACTGGTCTTGACTCATTTGAGACTTGACTGGAGGTTTGCTTTGACAAGACTTTGGTAGCTCTGTTGCAATAACTACTTTTGTTGGACGATATATTTTCCCGGAGGTAATTGCACTAAATGATACTATCGTCATTTTGAAACCATTTTATACGATAGCATAATAATGCAAGTACATTCTTTCGACAAGCAAAGGACTTTAATTCTTAACAATATTCAGACATTGGAATATAAAATAAAGATTTCACAAATTTTAAGACCTGTTGATATATCCAAGACAGTGTATATTAAACTGTACCTTTACAGGTGCAACACAAAATCACTCAGTTTGAGACTCGATACAAAATTTGACCAACAAAAACAAAACCATGTGATGCCTTTTGCAAACAGACAAGTTTAGCTGAGCTCTGGGAACCTTGCAGTTACTTCAATAATCCGGCTGGTGGCGCTGCATTTGACAGCCTGGGAGCCGGGTGGTTTGCTGGTGGATTTACAGAGTGAAGGATGAAGTTTTTGGACAGTTAAACTACTCTTGACTGACTTTTGGGCTTGTTGCCAGGGGTTAGCAAGCTAACGACTATCAGGATTAGCCCTTGGACTTGGACTTAGATATTCCCCAGAAGGCTAAAAAAACAGCCTTGAATCTTACATATTGTCGGGATCATGGAAAGTCTGTGCTGACAGGTCACGGTTGTGTGTTCATCAGAACTGTCCTAGAAGTTTGTAGACTCACTAACATGTCATCAATCTCCCCAACAGGTCCATCACAACATCATACTACCGTAACTCCGTGGGCGGGCTACTTGTCTTCGATCTCACTAATCGCAAGACCTTTGACCATGTGCGGGAGTGGCACAAGGAGGTGAGTGAGCACATCCTGCCCCATCACATGGTCTACATCCTCATCGGCCACAAGAGTGACCTCAACAAGGACCGCAAGGTGAGCCGGGACGAAGCAGAGCAGCTGGCAGCCGAGCTGGGCATCCGCTACGTGGAGACGTCGGCCAAGTGCAACAGCAACGTCGACCGGGCCTTCGAGCTGCTCACCAGAGACATCTACGAGCTGATGAAGATGGGGGAGATCGTCACCCGTGACGGCTGGGACGGGGTGAAGAGCGGCCTCACCGCCAAGGTCCTCTACCCGGCCGACGACGAAGAGGAACTAGCTACTGCGGTCGCTGAAAAGGGCTGCCACTGCTGACTGTGAACTCTCCGTATCTAAACACTGTCCTGTCGCACCAAGAGCTCACCTCGTCTCACAAGCCGTGTTTCCATAAACATATTTTTATGCACATTTTGAAGTATCAATTAGAAAAGCTTTATGGAAACGACAAATGCCGATAAAACTCGCTCACACAAAAAAGTTTTGATGCTTGCTGGAGGTGGTTTTTGCCTTCTTGGAAAGAGGTTATCCAATAAATAGGATATGGAAACGCCCTCACCGAATATGTTCTGACATAGCAAAGTGAATCCAGAGACTGATCAGCTGTTTGTGATGTGGGCGTCTTACCATGCGTAAAAGTCATTGCATTAATTTGTCTTCACACGGCCAACCAGCCAACATAAGCGACCAGTTAAAACTTGCCCAATTGATGCAAAGAGCTCTCTCCGTCTTTTTCTCATAGATTAGTTAATTGGCCAAAGTGTCTTGTTTTGTGTCCTGTTTGCAACCTGTGCTTCTTCTACTCTGTACTGGTAGATGTCAGCTTTGCATAAAGCGAAGCCTGTACCGCCAACTAATGGCAAAACTACACTTTGCGTCGTCTAGTTTATTTGTTCCAAACCAGTTGTTGGAGGCGCGTTTAATTTGCATTTTTTTTTTGCAGCATTTCAAAAATTCGTTTAAACTTTGTTTAACATTTCAATGGAAACACGGCTACAGCTGTCCATTGAAACCAAGTCACTCAGGCTCAACACCTTGTGATATCACCATCCATCACTTCCTCACCTTGTGCTTCTTTCCCTCTCTATGTGTGGATTCTTCTGACAACTGGGATTCTTTTCTAACAGGGGGCCATTGTACATCCCGATGTGTACTTTATAGGCAAGTTGTGTCTCTAAATCCATGTGGTGTAGCATGAGCTGAGCTGTTTTGGGCCTCGTTAGGTTTGGAAAACACAGAAAGCATGCAGAAGTGATGGGGCTTAGAGTGAAGCCAATACTGCTTTTCACAGCCCTGGAGTTAATGGACCACTGAGTATTCTGAAGGTACATTTCATACAGCACTATTGTGGGTTTCTACCTGTCAACGTTCGTGCGATGCTTTGCCTGCAATCTCTTGTGACTGTAATATTGTAAATAATAGTGAAATATATAGAGATGAAAGCTAAAAGGTCACTGAAAGCTATTTAACTGATCATGTGAACACACACAATGCACTCTACAATAGGTGTCACCATGTTAAATCAATGTGCTCCTCCTGCTACTGTAAGCTGTATGTGCACTTACGCCAAACTGACTTAAACCTTTGATCATTCTGTGAATAGATAAGTAATGTTTTTGTAAAAAAAAAAAAAAAAAAGATTATTTCTAGTTAAGGTGTATACATAAAGATAGGCCATAGTATTTAGGATAGGTGGTACCATGTAGGTATTTGTATCATAGCATCAACAGGAGCAAGACATCAAGTGTGTTACCTCTCAGTCATCAGACCTTTAATGAGTTCGTCAGCAGTAGTAAAGACGTGTTTGACTAAGAACAAAGGGAAGTTTGAGTCTCACTTGCAGCTGTTTGTAGCTCATGCAAACAGCTGCTTCTTTAGTTCAAAGCTTTATCCACAAAAATGATATTCTATTCAGGCTGATGTGGCCAGCTTCTGTGGGCCTATATGTTATGCTCTATCCCAGAAGTTTCAGGAGGAAATGTTGGTGTATACGTGGAAAAAAAAGTCAACTTCCAAGTAGGAAACCTAGGCAACACTAAGATGTCACGTTAACATCTCATTATATACCACTAAAGCTAATTAGCATTTCTGTTAACATGGTTGTTACTGTCTTGCAAACCCACTACAGATCAACAGGCTCAGCAGTCGATATGACATGAAAACACAGCACCCTGGATTGGGTTTTGGCAAAGGACCTTTGCCCCGTCATGTTTATTTCCTGCCTGACAAAATGCTTGATTTGATCTTTGCGGGGGAAGCAAGTATTTCCACTATTTTTCCAAGTTAGATGAGAAAATTTATATCTGTCTATGCGTTAAGTACGGAGCATGACCCAGGAGGCGATTAGCCTAGCTTAGCCTTAACACTGCTCAGTGGCGCATTATGCCCAAAAAGTTCAACTGCCGCGTATAAAATTTCCTGGATTATTGGCACTCTTCCACACTGTATGGCCTAAAGAGCAAGCACACTGAAACTTTCCTGGGGTGAGCCTGCTACTTCCGGTTTAGTGCTCCGTTAACTTGAATGGGGAAAAAACGATTCAATCTTGCAGCTCCTGTAGATTCTCCAAATGTTATTGCACCAAATTGATCAAATCTTGATTGTGAAACAAGTCATTTCACAGGGGTTGTGATGCTCAAAAATTGTATCCAATGATTTACAGACATCTCTTTCATAACATCTACAGTATGGGGAAAACACATGACGGATGTAATAGCACTCTTTGGCCACTACAAATATTGGCTTCAAAGCTCAGCACCCTTCCTGAGGGCCTGGGACAAACCAGCTGCAGTGATTTCCTGATGTCTTGTCAGTAGGCGTTTCTCAATCTGCATTCTTGCCTCTACTTGTTTTCTTGGGGACTTGTGAAACGTCATCAGTCGCAGCCCAAGTACTGTTCCAATTCAAAGTCTGCATCCAGCCAAGTACAGTCCAAATGCCCGGATGTGAACTTGCTCTGCCTGTTCCATCGGGGATGCATCGGGAGGTGACTTGTGTGGACTTTTGACAGCCAGGTATCCCAGAATGCATTTCTCACAGACCAGCGGCAATGGCAGCTGTCCGTGGGAGTTTGTACTCCCGAGTCGAACTTGCCAAGTCCGAACTCCCAAGTGCGCAAGTTCGAACTTGGCATACTTGGTATTGAGAAACGCCGAGTGACTTGAGTGAGGTTGAAGTGTGGTTAAATTGTGCCGGTAGAGACGCTAACATCTGTGCTCACTGACTATCAACTGTTTTTCACAAGGATGCTTGACCTAAGTGAAATAGTTACAGCACACTGCTATGCCTAAGCAGGTTGGTCTCACTCTCAGGGTGTAAAATTATGCCGCTCTGGCAGTGTCCCCAGCGTCATGGTAACCTTTAGTGTCTATATGAGATGCAGCAGGCTTTTGACGAACCCTAATGTAAACCCATCTGTGTTTTTAGACGTTCGGAACAATGGACATAGTATAAAGAGCAGGAAAGTTTGCTTAGGGTGGGTGGATGGGTCCAACAAGGACAGGACTTTGACCCAGGAGACCGGTGTTTGTGTCTTGTGTAAAAACTTGAAGTGGACAAGTTATTTTGTCACGTCAGACGGTAGTCACATGAGTCGTCAGTCACACGAGGGACTATCATCATCCGCAGTCTTTCTGTAACCATTATGAAGTCGTTTTGTTCCCTGACCCTAACTGCCTACTCAACCCCTTCTGCCCAAGCATCAAATTATGAGGAGTAGGGATGTAAAACTAGACATTGTCTTTTTTTAAATTTCTGTTCGGATACAAATTAAATCAATAAGACACAATGTGTTGCTTGCTTCATGCTTGGCCGGTCACCTTCTCACTCCAGCTCTGTATTTAATGCAAAGACATGAGAATGGTATTAGTTTGTTCATAAAACTCCCACAATGAAAACAAATAAGTGTATTTATGTCTTAAAAGCATTTAAAATGCTCTTGTTACTCATGAAAATCTGACTGAAGTGATTGCTAACATCCGTTAACTTTCAACGCCAGGATTTTCACTAACCCTGAAGCTGCACTTCAAGTTGCTTAAATTCTTTGTTAACTAAGTCATTTTGACATACCACACATAAGCCTCTACACTGGTAAGAGTATTTGGGATTTACGGACTTGTGACAGTAATAACACCAGCTGTAATGGAGCCTGTTACGGCCAGCTTGCTGTTCTTAGCTGCATTTACGATGAAAGCATGTCTGTGCACACCACTTCTACACATAGCAGTAACTACCTTTGACACAGAGGATCACGTATGCTTCAAGTCTCCAGAGCCTTTTGACTGCAGACGCTATTAATCTGCTGTTTAAAGGCCCGGAGCGAACAATAAACTAGAGTAGTCTTTGCCTGGGAACTCACCTCCAGTCCCACCACTTATTCACCTTTCACCAGCATCTCACCAAAAAACCTGTTCACACCCACACTGTAAACAGCAAGAGATTATGCATTCTGTAGTTTTGACTCATGTTTGTCATTGGGTTGATAAAAGCTGTATGAGTGATTCAGTAATTTTAATACATTTGCAGCATCCCTTTATTTTAACTCGTCTGTACAGATCCAAACCGATGCTTCCTGCTAAATCATCACTCGACAGCCATTTTTTAATAAAGTCGTATACACACTATATGTTTTTGTTTGTTCGACAATCACGTTAACATTTTGTGTTCTTGGCACAGGTGAGGAATACTATGCCTTGAAATCTGGCTACACATCCTTGCAACATCAGAAATCACGAGAGTGACTGTGTTTAATACTGCAACTACGTTTTTGTCTCACATCTAAACAGGGTTCAAATGTACAATATTGACTGAATTTGTATGTTAATACTGTGCCGTTAGCAAACTGTTCTCCAGTGAGCATGACTCCCATTCCTGAGCACTGCGTGGTGTGAAGATGGCAGCCGAGGAGCATTCTTCAGAAAGCGCTACATACATTTAAAGGCAAACGCTGGAAGGACACCAAGAAGAAACTGCTTTTTGAAAGACGGACTCTATGGGAAGAAATAAGCTTATTCTCATCAACCATTACTAGAATATCCAGCAATGATATATAGTTAAAAATTGTATTAAAATACAAAAGCATTTGTAACCTTACAAACAGTGACCATCCTGTGTGTAGACCATAATGGTGATGGTGGTGGCCATACTCAAGCTTCAGTCCAGATCCAGCCTCTCTCTTACTGTAAAGGGGTAGTTCAACATTTTGGTTGCTTTCTTCAGGGCCAGCTGTGTACTTTTGTGGGCCCTATACAGGGTTTGATTCCGGGGCCCCCGATATTGAAATGTGTTGCCACTTCACATGGCACCGAACCAACTTGTGTTGCACCTAGTCCAGGTTGTGTTGACTTTTGTTTTTGTCTTGTTCATCAGTTTTGTTATATTGATCATATCTAATACAATCCCCAAGTGTGGGTTGTTTTTTTTTTTTTACCCCGGAGTCCTCCTGGGAGTGCTTGTTTCATAGGGGGCAGTATATTACTTCCTCAGCATACCTCAATTGTCTATTTTGCCTGTCTCTGAGCGTATTGTTCTGTCAGTATTTGTTGGCAAAAAAAAAATCACAAAATGGCGTCAGATTTTGTTCAGGACATTTCATTTTATTTTTGTCTCCATATCCATTTTGGCTGAAGCTAGTCCTAGCTGACATTGGGCTAGAGGCGGTATACACCCCCAGACAAGCCGCCAGACCATCACAGGGCTCGTTATTGTCTTGTGTTCGTTAAAAAAAAATCAAGGGGGCCCCAGAGACCAGAAGGCCCTATGCAACTGCCTATATCGCTTAATGGGTAGGGCCGGCTCTGACTTTATTTCTGAGAATTGGATAAGATTGACAACACTCTCATGTCAAGTACGTTAAGTATAGAACTTGAGCCAGGAGCAATTAGCCTAGCTTAGCCTAGCTCTGAATTTTGAAATAAGCCCATAAACACGTCTAAAGCTTTGTGATTACCATGTTGTATCTTGTTCATTTAAACGGAAATTTAAAAATTAGGTTGTACAGAAGTTACATGCTGGAGCTATGTCTTGGCGACTAGCAGCCTGGTGCAGTGACTCTCAAGGGTCTCGTCGTCAAAGCAAGATTAACTGTTGTTCATTGGGAAATTGCTCCAGCAAGTAACTCCCCTTGCGTTTTTTGTTGGTGCACAGGTTAAACCAACAAGATACAGTGAGTAGTTAGCAAGCTTTCACAGAACTGAGTAGCTGTTTCAATCTACTTCCTGTCTTTAAGCTAGGCTAACCACATCCTGGCGCCAGCTTCATACATAACACAAACATGAGATTGACATCGGTTTCCTCATCTTGCTCTCAGAAACAAAATGAGCAAAAGTCCCAATATGTTGAACTATGCCTTTAATGATGTGTTTTTTTTATGTTGTCCATATGAATGATCAAACCACCCCACAGGTGGGGAATACTGTGGGCCTATCAGGGAACATCAGCACCTGTTAGGCCTGCATTACGGTACATAGCACAAAACTGTTCAGCTCCTGATCCCCATGGTCACATTTCACAGCTTTACTGAATAAATGTTATTTATTTTATATATCATGTATAAGGAACTTGCCTTTTATTTGATGTGATTTTATTGATTGATTAAAAAAAATAAATAGATGTCCAATGAAAGTTTGGAGTCAGTTTTTTGACTGGGGTTTGGCGCCATCTTGTGACACTTTGAGGGAGTATCACTATGACCTAGATTGGTTATTGTGATATATTAATGTCGTGGACAAGGGTGGCACCTTTTATCTAAAACAAGTTGCATTAGTCTGAATTAGATTGTGTAGCTGATAGTGAGACTGTGCTACAATCATGGGAGGAAAATTAAAACAAATAAAATTATATTGTCATTATTAGCTGGAACCTGTTGTTCGGCAATAGATGTCAAAGAAATTAAACGTGTTCTTTCTTAATGACACTTTAACAGGCTATAACAAGATTTTTAAGCAACATGAAATTCTTACAGCGTGAATTAAGGGTGATTGGGACTGTTTTTGAATTCCCTATTTCTGTGAGCTTTGTTGTCATCATTTTAAAAAATAAATAAATGAAATAAAAAAACGAGAAATGATACAGTTATGCAATACTGATGATGTTACCTATCCATTTGAGGAAAGAAGAAAGTTTTATCATATTCCAAGGAGGCGCGACATACAATTACAAAACACAAATAACATGGCTGGCTGTAAAAGCTACATCTGATTTTATTTTATCCTAAATGTTTTTAAATTTGACATTTTAAATATAGAAATGGATCTTGGTATTTTTCTCCACATAATTACATCAGGACAGTGTGCAGAAGGTTTTCAAGCAGCCTTTAATTAGATAAAATGTGTAGAAATTATACTTGAATGGTTATTAAATGTTCTATTAACCATTTGAAACCTGTAGCGGCATCACTTTTCTTGAGCTGCTTTCACACACCTTTTGCAAGTATGTAAGCCTTTGAATCTTGAGCAAACTGGTGCAATTTATTTCAAAAACATGGTGAAAAAGGGTGATGGGCAACTCGGAAAGCAATGTCCCACAAACTGCAAAAAAATAACAGATTTAGAAAAGTATTTAAAAACAAATTAAAAACTAGGGAAAGCAAAAGTGGAAAAAAACTATACTTGTAATTATTATCATTACATTTTTTTTACTAATGTTTTAGTTGTGAGTTTTTTTTTCTTCTGAATAATTTCTTGCAAATTTTTAGGGCAATTTCTTCTTTTATTGCTCATTGACTTCCTCACATGTTTTTTTTTTTTTTTTTTTTAAAGAAATCACGCCAATTCGCTTAGGTTTCAAAGGGTTAATGTGTTTTTGTTTTACAGTCATCTTTGGCGTGGATCAACTATGTGAGGCTAATTGAGAAGGAGCAGCTGAAATGCCGGTCAAAGCGCTTTTCTAGGCGTTCATTGGTTTCCCCACTTTCCCTGAACGCATCGGCAGCTTGAATTGCGCTCAACAACCAATAAGAGCCAACAACACAAGGCTGAGGCTCATCTTTTCTACCCATCATGCTTTGCGACAGTCAAATCTCCACAACCAAATATACTCAATCTTCGAAAATAACTGACCAATGGTGACATAGTTCGTATAACACATATTAAAATGTATGATTATTCTGCACTACACCATAAAACGGTCACACATGGCGGCAACTATATATATTTGCCAAACCTCTGAGTGAGGAACATGTCGCCACTGGTGAGGGCGAGGGATGTTCATGATCCTCGTTAAAAAGGGCTTCTGTCATGCTTGGCACATGAGGGGTGGGGTTAACCACTCTTTTTGCGGAATCGCCATCAAGAGATTTCGGAAGCATAATTTTTTAACCCAGGGGCTGCTAGTGATCTCTCGTCCTGGCGCCCCATTTCCTGCTGTGAAAGAAAACATCAAAACGGCGTAAAAGGGCTGCAGCATGTATGTAGTTTGCAGCTGACAAATTGTATTGAAGCAATTTAGGTTGTATTTAGAACTAAGCCGAGAGGTGTAGTTCGTAGCTGTATTGAAAATATGTGGACACATCTCAAATTTAATTAATCCAACAACCTAAATGTTACACCATGCTGCAGGGTGACGCTCATGTATTAATCTTTGGGATTTTTGCAGGAGCTTTGAAGATACAGAACAAGTCTTGCAGATTGTTCTCTGGTAGATCAAGTCTTGGTGACTTTTCAGAATTGTCTATCTCTTTTAAACATTTGAACCCTGAGCAAATAGGCGCAGTTTCTTTCAAACACGTGAAAAAGGCAGTGAGCAACTTAATGAGAAATGTCCCACAAATTGCAAAGAATTAAGAGATTCAGAAAGTTTTTTTCTTTTTTAAAAATAGGGGAAAAAAAAAAAAAGCTAGCACTTTTTCCAGGTCATTAATTGTTGTTTTTTAATGTTTCTTCTTTTTCTTTTTTCTTTTATATTTATTTTATTTTTTTATTTTATTTCATTTTATTTTATTTCTATATATATATATTTTTTTAATTTTCTCCTTTTACGAATTTCTTGCAATTTTTGGGCCATTTTTTTTTCTGAGTTGCTCATGGTGTTCTTTCCATGTTTTTGAAAAATATCAAGCCTCTTTGCTCAGGTTTGAATACCTTGGTGTCTGGACTGATCAAAAGCTCTCTTTCAAACAACATATTGACTCAATAATTAATAAATTCAACTGCAATTTAGTGCAACTGTATCGTTCCAAAAATTGCTTTATAACTTTCACACAAGCAAAATAATTGCTGAACAGTTGTTGCTGCCAATATTGGACTGTGCTGAATACCTGTGAAACATATCTTCAACCTCTTAATGTCATTTACAATAACCTCTGTAGATTTATGTTAAAGTGTTCCTTCTGAACTCATCACTGCTCAATGTATGAAACTTTGAACTGACATCACCACTGGCTCCAGTGCATTTTCATTTTTTAAAACAGTACTTAACACCATATATAGCCTATCTTCATACTCACTTAGACACACTCAGCAACCTTACTTTTTAGTTCCCAAAAATAACAAAGAAATTGGCAGATGCACATTCAGATTTAAAGCTCCCTCTGATTGGAATAATTTGCTCACTGCTCCTCTTTAAAAATCTGTTATTATCCTTTCTTAAAACATCAAGTTACTGTGCCTGATGGTTAATGTTAATGTTGGTGGTGGTGGTGGTATATTGATGCTCTGTGTGTCTTGTGGCATATCCATCCCTTTATTATGTGAGGATATTGTGGGCTTATGGGCATGATGTGGGGGTGTGTTGGTCAATGAGAGCTATGTATGTTTGTGAAGAACCCCTTTGAAAACGAGTCTATTCACTAATAAACTTTATTAAATACCCAGGCTGCTCCAGGTTTCAGTATCCATATGTCAAACAATCCAAACACTACATTACAGTGGACACAAGCAGCTTAGACACAATCCACGAGATCTGACTTAATAACTGAAGCCTATAAAAACCAAAGGTGTCGCCACACGTTAAATAACCTTCACTTTCTAACATATAATACAGTGACTTTAGTCGCAGTGAGTGAAACTGGCTGCAGATGAGTTTAGTCAGGGTTTACAGGAGCGTGATAACAAGGCGAGCGCTGTTCAGCAGGAAGTCAAGCTTTATCAGCGGAGTGCGCATGCGCCGCAGCTCTGCTCAATCTAGGGCTGCGTTTCTCTCCATAAAACGGTAAGGACAAGCACTTTTTCACTATGTGGGCTGAAATAGACTTGCGTGTAACATATGGGCCGGTGTTAGGACACTAGCGGCAGTTTGAGCCGGGGGTGCGGGTACATTGCGGATGGGGTTCAGCCAGCCAGGCTCGTACAGATTGGAGGGGCAACGCCGCCGCCGTGCCGTTGTTTGCTGTACGTGCCGCCGCACAGGGAGACGTCATTTTGAGGGGGAGCGGAGAGTTAAAATGCAGAGTTACGAAGGGACGTACGGTTCAGAGACAAGCGGCACGTAACCGTCACACTGTAAATGCAAAGCTTTACCCGTCTCGGACCGTATAGTTGACAACATTGTCCAGTTTGCCACACATAAGTTACGCCCTTGCGTTAGCCATAATGGCTACCGCCGAGCCGAGTCTGAGGAGCTGTGTGCATCTCAGCGGCGAAAAGCAGTCAGCTGCCCACGGCGGTCGTGATAGCCCACTTAACTTTAACACACAGGAGTCTGTTATCTGTGACTAAACGGATGGTTTACCTCAAGTGTGGCTGGGAGCGTTCTGCTACACCGCACCTCACTTAGCATCTCCCAAAATCGCGCAAAGCTGCGGTTTCTGTGCCTCAGTGCGCGGAGTGAAGCTCACTAACGTTACCGTTACATCTCACTGCACTGCCTGACACTTTGTAAAAGTGCGTGTGCATGTGCAGTTTCAATTTGCGTGGATAACTACCCGACACACCACGGCTTATAATAATGTACCAGTCATTGTGGTCTCGTGATATTTGCCGCCCCTGTGTGCACACCACGAAATAGTTCATTTAAAATAAATAATATTGTATTAACCCAAGGAGTACACAGTCTGTGCTCGCGATATCATATCCATTTGGGGTTGAACCATTTGTAAAATACAAAATGCCTCATGTTTGGTTTAAATTAGCAGATATACAGTCACATCATGCGAGACTGATATTCACCAATTCATGAATTGTAACATAATCATGTTGTACAAGTGGTTAACTTTCTCAGCAACATTAAAATGACAAATTGCTAAATGAAGTTTGTTTTTCTTCATGGTAGGGAGAGTGAATCAGCTGACAACCGCCCTAACTTTCAATTAAGCAGTCCCTCCAGGATCTCGCAGCAAAAAAAAAAAACCTTGAATTTGCGCCAATTTTGTCAAAAATTGCGATGAAAATTGCGGCATTTTTATGTGATTTTTTTGCGGGAAATTGCGGCAAATGACAAAAATTGTGGCTAATGACAAAAGGAGAAAAAAATGTGATTTTTTTTAATTACTTCCTCCAAAAAAAATAAGTCATGCAATCACTTGCTAAAATACTGAATATTTCAAAAATATTTCAAAAATAGCTGCAAATGTTTTTTATAGTTCTCTTCTTTAGTTTTATTTAATTAGTTTCAACACATGGACTCCAATAATGTTGCAAAAAATCATGAGTGAATATCGTAGCTCTCAAACCAGACAATGTGACTGTAAAACAACACGTAACCTACATCTTCTGTAAACCTAACATTTTAATGCATTCAACACATGTTGTATGCCTTTAAACAGTGCAAATTCTTATGTCACTGCAGGGTGTTTTTCCACACTGCAATGCCATTAGTGCATTTGATGACGCGTCTGATGACATTTCAAATGACGCTGCATGCACGACGACTTCCGGTCGGCTGGAAAATGCAGAAAAATCGCAGGACTTTTGAAAAATTGCAAGCTCCCACAAATATTGCGGACTTTCTTTGAATTTGCATTAATTATTATATTATTATATTTTCTGGAGGGACTGATTAATAGCCCGGGCTATTATTTGAAATCAACAGGCCTATATTTGGGACAGGCCTTTAATTCCTTTCACACAAAACTGTTGCTCAGCAAAGATTGGAAAACTCAATCCAATTGTTTATTTGAACTGGTATGAATATTACTTATAAAAAAATGAGGCTACTAATAATGTATCAGTTATGATTCAGTGATTTGATCTAGCTCCGACAGACATCAGAGAGAGAGTGAGTTACGGCACTCGGGGATTATGGCACCCGGCATACCGACACAACCCCACTTTATCCTGTTAAAACAATACTCACAACTTGGATTGATATTTATGAAAACCCTTTTGATTCTTTTGATCTGAGGACCCTTATGGACTAAAGAAATATGAATAACTTACAGGGCAATTGAGGAATGGACACATAATTTGAGGTAGCCAACAACCCGGTTTTGGAAGAACTTCCAGGCATCTAATTGAAACAGGTTTTTAATGTGTACTAGGAGGGACAAGGAGGCATTTAATTGAAGTTTTACAGTATGTTACAACATGCTCACATGTAACTAAACATGTTGTATGTCTACGCTTGAGTTAAAAAGTGCCGTTAACCATACTGGACAAAAACAAGGGATGCACGATATAGGATTGTTTGCTGATATCTGATGTGCTGATAATAAACTCATTTGACCAATACCGATATCGATTCACTTTTTTCCCACCTAATTTAAGGGATCATCAAGTCTCGTCTGTAACTGCCATTATATTATACATCCATACTGTTACCATGACGGCTCAACGGCAGATGGAGACATGAAATACAGTGTTTTTTCAGTGTATGTAATATTCATTCATTGTGGAAAACAAGAAAAGGCATGTTGGTCGGTTCATTTTAAAGCCAATATCGGCCGATACCGATGACGTGCTGATACTATTGTGCATCCCGAACAGAAATTTAAAAGCAAAACTTCTGTTTTTGCTCCCATTTTTACAGGTTTAAGTTAAAGATCTAAGACTTTTTTCATAAACTCAATAGAAGTATTTCTCTCAAATTTTGGTCACAGATTTGATAACATTTATGTTCATGAGCACTTCTCTCTTTTCAAGATAATCTATCCACCTGACAAACTGATTAAACAGCATCATGACTTCGCAGCTGTGCCTTGGGATTGTCAGAATTAAAGGACACTAAAATGTGGAGTGTGATCACACAATATGCCACAGATGTCGCACGATTAAATGGAATTTTCAATTCACTTCATAAACCATCTTCAATGTTGTTTCTGTGAATTTGGCAGTACATCCAACTGGCATACGTTGCTATTTTGCGAATAACTTTGACTTTAATACTTTCTTTAACTCAGTTCAGAAGTTGCTTTTAATCTCAGTGTCTTGACATTACTAATGTTAACACTATATGAGAGCAAGATAAATATTTATGGGCTACATATCATCTTTCATGGAATGTTTTTTTATGTATTTGTCTTGTGTTTCAGATGAACAAACTCCTGGATAGCTGTTATATGAAAGCAGCCCCCTTCTGTAGTCTTCTCTGAGTGTGATGGCGACCACCGACGAGGTCACGGTGTCCATGGGGGAGGTGGTAATGGTGAAAGCTGACGGTGAAGGAGACGCTGATGACCCTAATAAGACTCAGGTCATCCTCCAGCTCCAGCCAATAACCCCTGGGTAGGTACTGAACCCAGGCTCTCTGAGACTAGGCTAGGATGTAGCCTCAAACTACAGTTCAGGTCACTTCAGAACAATTCAAGATTCAAGATGATCCGCCATGATTAGGTGTTGATTACAGTAGTAGTAAAGAATACTGCTCCTGTGTAGATACTGAGATACAAGATAGACAGACAGTGTCCTCTGTACTATGAAGAAGGAATGTGAAAATGCCAACTGTTGTCTTTTCAGAGATGAATCTGCTGAAACAGATGCAGCTGTCATGGCTGTTGAAGCACATCCAGGTAAGAGATTGTCAGAATAATATTTGGACAACTTGAAAGATTTAGTCATGCTCACATTGTGCACATTATGTTACAAAAAGCTTGTTTTCCCCTGCTTTCCTCACGTTGAAATGTCATGTGTATCTTTTCACTGTTTTAGAACAAACAGATGGAGATGACGTTGAAATTGGCTGTCCCATAACTTGCGGCGACTGTAAAGCTGTGTTGCTAGTGAAGAAATTCGTGTGCCCAGGAATCAATGTAAAATGTGTGAAGGTTGGTATTCATCATGGTTTTTAAATCTACATTGAAGCAAAATGGCAACCACAGGGTTTCATAAGGGCTGGGTGATATGGCTTAAAAACAATATTTTGATATAGTTAAATTACTGTTATACTTAAATCAAAGAGGGGCTACTGGTGCTTTTCTTTTGAAGCAAACAGCTCGTCTCGGGCCAGAAGTGTAAATGTTTTTGCTGCGGACTTAAAGCTTGCGGCCAGTTAGCTGTTGCAGTTAGCAGAAATGTAAACTGTTTTGGCGTTGCTGTTAAACATGAGGATTTAGTCACTGTGAGCTGGAGACAAACTAACAAGTCTACAGTTTATATATTAAAGGGGAACTAATGTTTTTTTCAACCTGGGCCCTATTTTCCTATCTTCTTTTGTCTAAATGAGTTTTAGTATGTTCAATATTTGACATTTCTCCAGTATGAAGCTAGGGCTGACCTGCCTGCAGCCCGTGAGCGCGCGCTATATTAAATAATAGGGCACTCAGACAGCGTCAAACAACGTCAAAATACATCCACTAAAAGTGCATTTTTTCACACAGATAGGCTCAGATTGTTAGCATAATTATCTGACAACGTAACGGAAAGGAGAAATGAACGTCTGTGTTTGCCTTTAGCTGGATTTGGACATGTTCTTCTGCCTGTTGCTGCTCCCTCTCTCTCCTCGTCCACTCTTCAGTTTCTATGAGTTCTGTGTCCGTGTACGTCCGTATACTCCATGTTCAAATAAATACGGATGGTCATCAAATTCAAATGGCTCGTTAGGTTCCATTTGGTCAAAATCAGGTAAAAATTCAGCCATGACTACTCCAAACAGAGTAACTCCTCGCGTTTGTAAGGTCAGTCCAGCGGTAACTTCCTGCAACAACTCAAATCTCGCGAGACATGAGATTTCAGAGCCAGACTTTCACTCTCTGAGTGAGTGTTTTGACTTGCCACAACAAACGAATTTTTACCCGATTTTGACCAACTGGATTTGGATGAGCCATTTGAATTTGATGACCATCCGTATTTATTTGAACATGGAGTACACGGACTTACACGGACGCAGAACTCATTGAAATTGAAGAGGGACGAGGAGAGAGAGGGAGCAGCAACAGGCAGAGGAACATGTCCGAATCCAGCTAAAGGCAAACACAGACGTTCATTTCTCCTTTCCGTTATGTTGTCGGATAATTATACTAACAATCCAAGCCTAAAAATGGACTTTAAGAGTATGTATTTTGACGTTGTTTGACGATGTCTGAGTGCCCTATTATTTAATATAGCGTGCGCTCATGGGCTGCAGGCAGGTCAGCCCTAGCTTCGTACTGGAGAAATGTCACATATTGATCATCCTATCACTCATTTAGACAAAAGCAGATCGGAAAATAGGGCCCAGGTTGAAAAAAAAAATTAGTTCCCCTTTAATAGTATTCACATGTTGCACTGGTGCTCCATGGTTGCAAAATGAGACTTAATGGTGGTGCACGCTTTGTCTGCTCACACTATCGTAAAACTCATTAGGTAAACTTTTACTGCAGTGACGATTATCATGATGATTAATTCACTGAAAGCTGGAAACAAATTAACAGCTCTTCAGTCCATATATTAATAATATTTGCAAGTCATAGTTGTGCTCCATGGTTGCAAAATGCGACTGCATAGTAGCAGTCTGAAGCGCTGCAAATACAAAGACACACGCTTCGCCTGCTGACCCACTGCTGCTCAGGGGTAAGTGGTCTGGATGGGCAGAGGAGTGTGTGTGATGTATCATGTTTGTGAATCTTTCTGTGTGTCTGTGAGAGGAAGAGAGCAATAGGAGAGAAAACCGAAACACCATAGCTAATCTCATCTTGATGGCTCACAAAAATGACGTGACAATTTACACTTGATGTTTTTGATATAATCATTTTATATATCCACGTGGAACAAGCTGCAATACATCAAGTATCATCACTATATAGCCCATCACTAGGTTTCACCACTGGTCTTCAAAAGCAATTGTGTCACAGGACACATTGACTCAAATATTAAACACTCATAGATGGCAAAAAAGACTGTTACAAATGGTTGTTACTAATCAATACTGTACATAGCTAAATGGCAACTAGGTCATTCAATAGTCACTCAGCAGAAAATGAACATGAACTTCTTCTGGTGTCCCAGAAAAACGACACTGAGCTACCTTTTTATTTATTCTCACTGTAAACCTGCAAACTTCAAATAGCATTATGCTGATTACAGCTATAAGTGGGCATGTGCTTACAGTAGGTGATTAAGTTGAAAGCCCTGAACACTTAAATATGATGAATGTTCTTTTTTAGGACTTAAAGCTTTTTTTTAAAACAAGCTTTCTTACTAATCTTTTCAAACATAGTGTTATGAATGAGTTGAGTTAAACAGGTGTTTACTCTTATCAGTCACAGCTGGTCAAGCTGAATCCGCAACGAGCAGTTAAGCACAACAAATGTTCTGAACCAAATGAAATATTGAGCACCAGGGCCCGCGAAAGCATTTTGAAACAGCAGTAAGAAATCATTTAGGCAGCTGTCAGCAGTGCAAACAGTACTGTACATTAGACTGTAGCAGCTGAGGAATAAACTAAATCAGTTTGCTCAGCTTTAAAGCTACATTTGGGAAGTTTTAGAAAAAATATTTTCATTTTCGCCGAAACTGTCACTACACCCACATGGTAGTACACGAGACGGATGGTCTGTGGAAAAATCATGTTCCTCCTTCTCCTTGTAGAGCCTCTAATGGCATTTGCTACCACAAGGTGGAGGAATATGATTATTTTCACAGACTGTCTCGTGTGTTACTGTGTGGATGTAGTGACAGTTTTAGCAGATATGACTGAAAGTTAGTCGCAGCTTTAAACAGGTGGACCAGAACATTACCACACTTCTTTACTCAAGTTTTTCTTGGTCTCAGTTTTAGCAGCCCAGTACCTACTAGTAGTAGCACCTCTATCACCAGCCTCACTGTAAGAAGTGTCACGATTGCATACAAACAGTAGCATCCTAGTTAAGGACGCATTCACACTGGTGCTATTTGGTGTGCTTTAAACGAACCCTGGTCCGCTTCAATGGATAGTTCGGTTCGTTTGGAGTGGTGTGAATGCTCATTCGAACTTTGGTGCAGACCAAACGAGCGAACTCTGGTCCGCTAAAAACTGGGGGTCTCTGTTCACTTGCAAGTGAACCCTGGTGTGGTTCGCTTACAGTGGGAAATGCAAACGGACTATCCAGCGAATCAAAGAGAGGAAGTGACATAGAGTGCGGTGCATTTTGGTGTTTGGTGTTTTTGTGGTGACCAGGCCGGCTGAAGGGGATGGATTTATAAAGGAGTTCCCCAGGGAACAATTGCGGATCCTCCACAGTTTCAGTCTGAAGATTCTCTACATGTTTTTTTCTCTGAGCTAAAAACTTTGACTCTGCTTCAGACTTTATCACATTATGACAATTTCATGGTTGCTTATTTCTCCATATATAATTCCATTTAAACTCTGATTGTTACCTGTGTTTTCTGTCTTCAGATCCTCCAGCTGTTTCTCACTGACACTCAGTCTGACCTCCAACTGTTAATTTATCTGTTAATTTATCATGTTGATCTGTATGACATCTATTGCACGTCTGTCCATCCTGGAAGAGGGATCCCTCCTCAGTTGCTCTTCCTGAGGTTTCTACCGTTTTTCCCCCGTTAAAGGGTTTTTTGGGGAGTTTTTCCTTATCCGCTGTGAAGGTCCTAAGGACAGAGGGATGTCGTATGCTGTAAATTCCTGTGAGGCAAATTGTGATTTGTGATATTGGGCTTTATAAATAAAATTGAATTGAATTGTATTTCCAGATGGGTTTTCCTCTTCCTGGTCAGTGGTGGTTTCGGGCAACACCGTCCCCAAATGAGCAGCTGTTGTAACTGCATGATGTTGTCCAGGTGGTTTGGTCCACTTTAAAAAGTCCAGTGTGAAATTGAACCGAACCAAATGAAGGTGTGCAATTTTTCGGTATTCCCCGCCCAATCGAACCGAGTCCCCCGGACTATCCTGGTGTGAATGTGCCCATAGAGTATGTACATTCACAGAGGTACAACGGCAGATGTAAGTATCTTTGTAATGACCGTAAACACACCAAAAGCATTTGTGTTGGGTTTGTTTTTGGTTGTTTGTGTTTTAGTAAGACTTTGGGCATTGCTGCTGTGACCCAGAAAGCCCAGCAAACGCAACACAATTTGAAAACATAACATTCAGTATCAGCAAAGCAATATCCGACGTATAAAGTACAGCATGTCATTTTGCTTTTTTTTTTTTTCTTGTCTGTAATCATCTCTGCTTGATCTCTACATTGCACTCAATGAACTTAATTTGATTTCTTAACTAATACTCTCTCTGTTAGTACGAAGACCAGCTGATCAGCCCGAAGCAGTTTGTGCACATTTCTGGAAAAGCCACTCTGAAAGACTGGAAGAGAGCCATCAGGATGGGTGGAGTCATGCTAAGGTGAGGAGATTTATATTTGGATTAGTCAGCCGGAAGCCATATTTAAATATTCTGAGTGCTGGTTGGTTGCACTACACAGCATTACAATTAATCACAGTCTGCAGGCAAACTCTTACATATTTATTGCCGCTGATGTAACGGCCAGAGATGTGACTCATACGTCTTAAATATCCAAAACGATGACAAGATAAAAATGTTCCGTGTAGCTGTGAACTAACTAGACGTTATTCCATCACTCGTGAGCTGTAAATGAGATGAGGATAATGACTCTTGGCTTTTCATTAAACCTCCTGTCTGTTTGACTGATGTTTAATATACTGTGTGTGGAGTATTCTGAAAAAAAAGTATAATATCAGGGATACATCAAATATTGTAACTGCTGCATATTTTATTAAACAGAATATTATAAAATGGAAATGGAGCTATTAAAGACACTGTGGTGAACTTGTACTTCAGTTGTCCTAATTAGTTTCTCTCAAGTTTAAAGGGGAACTACACCTATTTTTCAAAATGTATAAATGTTATTCCTCTGGTCTAAGACAGTCCAAAAATGTAAGTACACATGAACAACTTTCCCCCAAATCCAAATATATGCTGTTCACATAATCTGGTTGAAATTAATATATATAAATGCTTGAAGATCCACTTATTACTAAAGTCTCTGTCATTATAAATACTAAAATAATGGTCAAAGTTGTCACAGTGAAATTTAATGTGTGCTTATGGATTCACGCTGTCACCTCATGCATTGAGTAACATTACAAGTTAGTGTTCCACCTTAAAAGTTGCCGGCAGTCGGCCCAGTGAATGATGTTATTGTTTCTCAGACTCCAGCTGCTGTGAGAGGCAGCAAAACAGCTCATGGTCACAAATATTGACTGAGCTTTCCCAGGCCGTGGAAATAACATTTTGCAATTTAGGTGCTGTTCCCTTTCAAAGCTGCACTAATCTGCAGTTTCAAGTGTTGCTTGTAGTGATGAACCCGCAGAGAATTATCATCGACTCTGCAGTTCCCTGCAGCTCAGCGAAGCTTAATAAGCTAGTTTAGCTCACTGTGGGCCAGAAAACCAAAGCAAACTCCACTGTTATCAAGCTTGATTCTCTCTGCAGCTGGCAGCTGATTTCAGCTAAAAAGCTCTAAAAACCCACTGTACACAGTTAGTGAGGAGCTGGTGAACATAGTGGAACATTTAGCAGCTATAGAGACAGATATCTCCCTCAGGAGTTGGTGGAGACCAAAAACAGAGCTGAAAGGAATCAGGCGGCCAAAACCACGACCCTGTGTTTGTTGGATGGGTTCATAAGCAACTGTTTGCTAATGTTGACCATAGAATTTCTCTGTTGCTGCTACTTGTTTAGGTTTATGGTGATGAGATGTGTCTTGTTATCCAAGCAGCTTTAAGAATACATATTTTCTTCATTTAGGAATATACAGCACTACTTGCATTTTGGGATGCCTGTGTGCACTATTTATATTCTTTTGTCTACTTTGAGTATTTCTCCTACTCAGGCTGTTTGTGTAGCCAAGCCCTGCACATAAATCAGCTGCTGCCTTTACAATTATAACATCCAAACAAGCAGAACAAGCATTGTGTTGGAGAAGCACTACACAACCAGCCACAAAATGCACATGCATGAAGTCAGGCAGCTCAGACAGCAATCAAACTTGGGCTGTCAGTTCTAAAAGATGTAGATATTCAGGCAGTGGTGGCCAATCAAATAAAACTCTTCCATTTACTAACTGTTTGATACCCTTTCTAATTTCTGCTCCTCAGAAAAATGATGGATTCAGGTCAGCTCGACTTCTACCAGCACAGCACACTGTGCACCAACACATGTCGCAGCACCAAGTTTGACCTCTTAATCAACAACACACGGTTCCCTCCAGATGGTTCTGGGCTTACCACACCCACATCCTCTCAAGGTGAGAACACACCTGTAAAGTAACAGTGATAAGGAAGATAAAAATATTCTCCATGTACAAGTTGTATGTTTGCTGTTTCACATTCTGTCATGCAAGCATGCGCTGATTCTGTGGCATTATGACTACGACTGGGGACCAGCTGGAGGAAATGCTTCATTGTGTTAGACAGATTTCCTTTCCTGCATGAAATTCTTTTGACACATTGATTACAGCGACCTGCACCCCTACAGTCTTCCTCTAAGTGTAGCTTTACCTCTAAGCCTTAGCTTTGCATCACAATACTGTAAACGCCACACAAGCAATGACAGCTGACAAGGCGCACTTTTCATGATTGCAGTGTACATACACAGGGGTAAGGAACACGCCAACAGAAAGCTATTTGCATCCAGATTCATGCAAATTTCAAACAAGTCAGAATTAAATTTTCATGATTCTCTCTGAACAAGTGTTTATTTTAGCTCAGTGGTTACACAAATAACCTGAGCTCCGTGCTCTTTAGCTACAGTGTGCTTCACTGCTGCTGTCCTTATGAGTTTAGGAGTGGCTCTTTAATTAAGAGCCGTGTCATAGGTGTGTAGCTCTACTACAGACACCTGTCAGCCAAACAGAAAGGAGTTCTCAGTGACCACAGTATAAGCAGGCATCACTGGATGTGGAGACAGAGGCAATAATGTCACAATAATTTATGTTATCGACTTAACGCTCAATGTATGGACATGACCATGATGATTTTGCTGTTCTTGGTATGTCACCAACATTTTAGCCAACATGATGCCAGCATAAACAGCTGGGTAGCGTAGATTTATCCCCAGATGAAGTATATGTTGGGTGCCAGACAGGAGAATAAACACAGCCCTACACTGTCATAGAAAAATATTCATTTAAATTAGTTGGAGAATTAGCCTGGATAGCTAGTTTTCACCGCTACGAAATGTAAAGGGGAAAACACAAATTGTTGTTTCATTCCTCAATTAAACCGCTTTATATTCAACCCAAAACAGACTCATATCAAATGATTAAGATTAATAATCAAACACAAGATTCCACACACCAATTTCTCCTTTCGACGCTGAAACTTTCATTGTCTCAGTGTTGTAGTCCAAGGTAGCATCGACTGTTCTCAAAGATGCTCCGATATTCAAGACTTACAATCAGCTGCCAAACATTTGCTGCAAATATACCAAGCAACCACATTCACATGATCTTAGGTCTTCACAGCAGTGCGTTACAAGCATAATGCTGGTTCTCCTGTGTGAATTGCAGCTCAGGTGGCTCTGGGTAATGGCGGAACAGCAGGCGAGGACAGAGCCGAGGTTCTGAGCGGGAAGATGGACTGGATTTCGAGCTCACTGGAGGCTGTGGACAAGAAGGAATCGAATGAGATCTCAGGTCACAGAGAGCACACAACCCAACACAGACAGTTCATTTGTAGGTCATACACACATAAGCACAGAGCACACCAGTGACTGAGACTTGTGTGTATCGTCTGTTTGTCCACAGAGGACACACTGAACTTCTGGAAGGGCATCGCTGATGTAGGTTTGCTGGGTGAAGTGGTGACCAACATCAGCACAGAGCTGCTGGAGCTGCTGAACGGCGTGCAGCAGCGCAGGGAGCCAGCAGCCTTACAGGACACAGGTACGGAACAACGCTAATGTGTACAGGCTGCGGGGAAAGCATCATCCAAACAGACCATGTGTAGGATTTAAGGCTCACTTGAAGGTGCATGAATGTAAAACAAATGGAAAGAAAGAACAAATTCACCTGCTGTTGGAAGCCGACGGATGAAAAACCAACACCAGAAAGCTTTTAGAAAGGCTGCTGTTGGTTCATGTAACAATAATGACTGATTGTTTACAACAGCTGAATTTGTTCCTCCTTTCTGACTGACCAAGTGACCCTTTGATTGATTGCCGCACTGATCCCAGATTCCTGTCTGGTAGAGGTGGCGGTGCTCAGTAACCTCGCCCAAGTGTTCGGCCTGCTCGACTCGGTCAAGAAGACGGTGGAGAGGAGGAGGCAGCAGACAGATCCCAGCCAGGAGCAAATCCTCAGCGCACTCAACAGTGAGTACAGAACAAAAACAAGGTTCCACTTCAGCAGCTGCCACACTGATTCTCTTAACCTCTGTGACTCTTTGGGGACACAGGCATCCTCGGCCCACGTCACTGTCTCTCAGAGGGTGTAGCAGGCTGAATTTTAAAGCTAGAATGAAGACACCAGTATCATATGAAACTAGAGGTCCTGACCAATTGTTATCTAACAAGCTGGCACAGCCTCTTGGGAATGGGGCTAAGTAATGCAAAGTTAGGCAACATTTTGGCAAGGGAAAAATTGACTTAGGGTCCCTTGACCTCTCACTTCAAGATATCAGTCAATCAATCAATCAATCAATTTTATTTATAAAGCCCAATATCACAAATCACAATTTGCCTCACAGGGCTTTACAGCATACGACATCCCTCTGTCCTTTGGACCCTCACAGCGGATAAGGAAAAACTCCCCCAAAAAAACCCTTTAACGGGGAAAAAAAATGGTAGAAAGCTCAGGAAGAGCAACTGAGGAGGGATCCCTCTTCCAGGACGGACAGATGTGCAATAGATGTCGTACAGAACAGATCAACATAATAAATTAACAGTAAAACAGTAATCCGTATGACACAATGAGACAGAAAGAGAGACAGAGAGAGAGGGAGAGAGAGAGAGAGAGAGAGAGAGAGAGAGAGATGCAGGACAGACGGTAATGACAGTAGCTTACAACAACATTAATGATGAATGAATTACCCATGAGTCTCCCTTCTACCGACATATACACTGTGGGCTAGTCTCGTGCAGTTCAGGGCAAAATACATGCAGTTTTTGCCTATTGTATTTGAATATTTCTGCATACTAGAGTCCCTAAACAGTCTTGGAATTACTTAAATGATATGACTGGAAACCTGGAACTCTTGTGGATTCAATGAATTCAACTTTATTGGTGTGTGATGACATTAGCCCCCACAGTCGCCATTTCATTTTTAGCGGGACAACTTCTGTCAGACGGGCCTTAATGTATAAAATGACCTGTTGTGACCTCTTGGATAATCACAGCCTCATGAGACTTTACAAATTAGAGACCTCGGGTGTTCGGACAATTGGTGGCTATCATAGGTAGAACAGAAACACAATGGTTTTTTACATATTTATAACTAGAAAAACAGGAGATTATTATATGACTGATTTTCATTTTACTTTTTACAGGAAAACACCAGCATCAGTGTTTTTATTTTCTCAATCAGGGTGTCCGCGGGGTCTTAAAAAGTATTAAAAGTTGATAAATCAAATGTCGGAAAATTAAGGTCCTTTAAAAGTATTAAAAAGTCTTAATCACGATTTTATTAAGTATTAAATTTTCTTGGCATTCAAGCTTTGACAAAAAGTATCCATGAATATATAATTTATTTTCCTCCTCGTGACTATTACAAACAACAATGTGTAGGTAGGCACACTCGGGGCCGTGCGCGTACCTGTGTGACATCACGCGACGGCGCACCTCCAGGCGCCAAATAGAGGAGCAAAAAACAATAAAAAATCCTTTTCATCTTATCTGAGTTCTATTGTATGTTTGTGCTCCATAGATTAATTAGCAAACTACAACTGTTTAGCAAGTTAAAGATGTGTTGCTGCTCAGGTTTTTTTGGAAGGTCTTAAAAAAGTCTTTAAAAGGTACTGAAATTAACCTCAGGATTCCTGCATATACCCAGTCAATTGACCCACTGTGTTTATGTTCGTATTCAGTCATAGATGTGTAGTAAATCTATAAGGTGCTCATTTTGTAGATGAAATCTACATTTTAGCCATGCTAGCAGCGTGACTCAAGGGACGGCAGTGTCAGTGTGCCAGTCCACCACTTTAATTCAGATTAAACTACAACTACAGAATGGATTACCGGACTTTTTGTACAGACATTCATGGTCCCACAGGAGGATGAATTTTATCATCTCCTGACCTTTTCTCTCCAGTGCCACCATGAGGTGAACAAACTGATGTGTTTACCAGCTTGGATTATTCTTTTTTCTTTGCCACTTGGAATTAAAAAATGATTAAGAGGAAAAATCCACTAAACATAGATGTTTCACCTCTTATGGTCCGGCACTCATCAACACTTTACTGCCACCACCTCCTGTCAACACTAATTAGACTAATGAATATTAATCACAGATATAAGGTGAGAGTCGTGTTCCTTATTAGGTCCTTTTCCTTGGTGAGTAAATGGTGCCAAACTGTTAAATATCATGGCCTCTGAAGCAGGAAATGAAGATGATAACATTTAAGTACAAATTAAATTAATAGAAGCATTTCAGATGCTTCTTGTTGTGGAACTAAAAAATCTGGTGTATTGCCTTGGATTGGCAGGAAACTAATAAACCCTTTGAAACCTGGATCGACATCAATTTTTTTCTGCTGCGTTAAGATGCATCTCCCAAACATTTAAACCTTTGAAACCTGAGTAAATGGTTTGATTTCTCTGGAAAAATGGGAACAAAGGCAATTAGCAATTTAGCAAGAAACAGTCCTGCAAAATCTCTCAAACTCCAAGTTAGTCTAAATTATCCAAAAAAAAAAAAAAAAAGTAGCTTGCTGGTAGTTGAGCTACATTCATATTTGCATCGTAATTCAAGTGGTTAAATTACCTTTTTTCCATTGTTTTTGCGTCATTAACGACTGAAACAATTTGAAGCCATAAAAGGAAAGGAATTTATATTTGTTTTTTATTTCTATTTTACCATCGCATCTCTACTGTAAATGAACTCCCTGTGACCACACGTATTGATTATTGTAATTTATAAACAAATATTAGGGAAGTTGTTGCATACTATTTTAGAAGTTATCTTGCTAACGGAGTAATTCAACTGAAGTAATTAGTAGATTGCAAAGCTGTGCTTCCAAAGTGGCTTCTCCAACACTGTTCAAAAAGCAAATGACCTGAAAAGACTCTTGAAAGTATGAAAAATGTTAAGATGCAGAACTCTTGGAACTTAATTATAGGACACAAGCCCAAAGCAGTGGCTGTGTGTGGCGACTACAAAACCTGGTGTTTGTGTGAGTTTGTTATTTTTAAATTCACATTGTTTAAAAATTAAATATGAAAAAGGACAGATGAGATTTTAAATAAGTCAGTGGTGTATATGGTTTTTAGATTGGACTTGACATTTGTTGCCATCTCAAATAAATATTAATATTAAATATCAACATTAGGCTGTGCAAAAAGAAAAACTGAGAAAAAACTGTAGAACAAAATAACTCCAGTGCTGTGTTGTGTGTTCTGTGCAGACTTGGAGGTTCAGTTGGAAGAACACAGGAAGCAGCAGCAGGTTCGAGCTCTCTTTTCCTGCCCGCAGCCTGCCAAAAACAAAACTCCCACCAAGCGCCAAACCAAGCGGCCTCGTCTCCAGAGGCCCGCCTCCACCACCACCCTCCTGACCTCCCCCATCAACCAGCAGGCCACCCTGCAGCCCCAACAGTTCACTGTTCTTTCCCCCATCTCGTTGTCCTCTGTCGGTCAGCCATTCACGGTGGCAGGCCTGCCCATCGCCTCCCTGGCCCAATCCTCCAACACAGTTACCCTGCTGCCCGCAGGCTCGCAGGTCTTCACCCGCTACATGGTGACTGGAGACGGAAAGGCAGACACCATCACCTTGCACCCGTCCTCTGGCCTCACGCTGGTGGGCACCACCACCATGCAAGACTCCAGCCAGTTGGGCACGGTGGTGAGCCCCGTAGAGCTGCTGCACCTGAGCCAGCAGGCTGGCGGCACAGAGGTGGTGCCCATAGAAGGCCAGGTGGTGGACGGCACCATGGTGGTGCAGCAGGAGGTAATGCAGGGCGAGGTGGAGGCCGGCCAGGAGCACACGGTCATCGAGATCAACCCAGCTCCAATGGAGCAGGCGGTGGGAGTGATGGAGCTGCAGCTGACCGGGGAGTCGGGCAGAGATGGTGCTACCATGATGGTCCAGAGCGGGATGGAGGTGACGATGGCTGCAGCGGAGGAGGAGACGCAGTGCCAAATGCAGGAGGCACAGACTGAAGGGGTTCAGGGGCTGCAGCTGGATGCCAGCGGACAGTTGTCAGGTGTACAGATAGTGGTTATAGGAGAACATACTCAGGAAGAAAACAAGGTCAAATGAGACAAACCTCCTATTTTATCCAGCAGAGCAGGTATGGACTCGTACGATCACAGACTTCTGAAACTGTAAATACACAGAATTTCCAAATCCACAAATTGCCTTGGCCTAAGACCAAGCTCTAGGGAGTAGCCATTTTTCCTTTTTTGGTGTGTGTACATGCTTCTCTCAACTTGTTGATTTTTTTATTGAAACAAAGAGGCATCACAACAAAGAATATACTGTGTGCTTCTGTTTGATTTGTATTTAAAGTGTGATTCCAGTTCATTACAATTGTTGGGTCAGATATTTGTAGTTTTGGCCATCATTTCTGTTGGGAATAATAACGCTGTGCCCGCCGAGTTAAATACTGAGAGGTGAGAATGTGTCAGTATCTGAGTCAGTCAGACAGACTTTTAACAAGTCTGCGGGTTAGCCAAACCTAAGGGAAGTGAAAACATCTGTTGTGTGATCACAGTCTTCCTGTGCAAAGCTGAATTATTACCACCATTTTGGGTGCGCTCACTTTACAGCTGCACCTCCAAATAAAAGGGGCAAATCAGTTTCCCAAAACATGGGCTTCCTATCCATACCCACACGTCTGAACCAGGAGGAAACAATATGATTTGGCAAAAAGAGCTGAATAATAAATATTTAACTTTTCAAGCTTTTTTTGCAACGATGACCTTGAATCTCAAGGACACTGACTTTGAGCTTAAAAATGTCAGTCATCACCTATTTAGCCCAGTCTGCTTTAATCTGCAGATGTTGTGCTCATATTGCCAACTAGCTGAAAACACATTCAGAGTTTGAGAGTATAAAAGACGTAAACAAACATGAAGTCTGACCCTCTTTTTGCTCAAGATAGTGGTTCAATAGTTAGTTGTCAATACAACATTCATCTGTATTGCAGAAACATTGAGAACGCCTGGTTAAATCAGTCTGTCTGAACTGTTGTCAGTCTGACTCATAGAAATAGAGTGAATAGAAAGGACTTTGAACTACCTGAACTTGAAATTGAAACTGAACTGTAATTGTTAGTTGTCATGGTGACAACATGCACACATCAGCAGGGCCGTGAAGTGTCACACTTGCTAGTTGGACTGCAGTTTTGGCCGACTGCTGCCTTTTAATTGATCAAAGGAATCAGGGCTGGGTATTGTTTAAAAATGATAATACCAGCACCAATAATGGTACCTTTAATGTGATACAGATCCCAGTAGAGTACTTCAGTAGATACAGTTTTTTTTTCTGCTAAATCCAATACCCATCGTGAATTGGAAGAACTCATTTGCATAAAGCCATCCAGCCATCTCTATCAAAGACACTGCACTCAACTTCACCGCACCACAGACTGTATGAACTGTAGCTGTTACGGTCATGGGCCACTCACATGTTGCAGTAAATCAAAGAATGCTCCCAGTGATTGGCTGCCAACACAACCATACAAATAGTCATTTTTTTCTGTATCTAGGTACACAAACAACTGAATGCAGGTACTGGTTTATTTTAGTCGATACTTTAAAGGTATCAAGTAGCAATACCCAGCCCTAAAAGGTATTCATTCATTCATTCAAACCTTTATATAATCAATTTAGGGAGACCCCTAATTTTCAATGATGTCGAGCATGAACTCAGACATTAAAACAATCATATCAGTTAAAACAGAAATGAAATCGTTTAAAGCAACAACAATAACTACAAATGAGCAGTAAAAGTAGAGTTACAGGGTGATAACTATGCTAAATTGTAGATGTATAATTAAAAGCATGCGCACTCAATTAAAACAAGATCAGAAATAAGGCACTTAAACAGCCGTAAGTGTAGCAGAGTGTCCAAGTTCTAAGTCTTTTGCAGATTATTCCACGTATAAGGTGCACTGTAAGAGAATGACCTAGTTCTGATTAAGGGAATGTGAAGCAACCTATTCTGTGAACGAGGACCAACAGTATGTGAGGACAGATTTAAGACTGATGAAATATAGGGTGGAAGCATCTGTATCAAAGCTTTATAAATGAACAAATGCTTTTCCTGCCTCACAGCCAACGGTAAAGGTGTCAGTGGTGGGTGCTCTAAGGATCACCTGTTATGAACCTTAGGGCTGAGTGGTAGACAGCATCCAGTGATTTCAGTGTAGAGGCAGCAGCTTTTCCGTATATAACATCCCCATAATCCAAAACAGACAAAAATACAGATTCTACAATTCTTTTCCTGTGTACAAAAGGAAAACAGCTTTTATTTCTGTACAGAAAACCAAGTGTTTTTTCAGTATGGTGCTTAAAATTAAGATGGTCATCCAGCCAGATACCAAGGTATTTATATAGTTTGACTCTCTCTATGGATAAGCCATTTGCAGAATGGATATTGAAAGAACCAGTGTGAGAAGCCTTGGTGAACAGCATCCATTTGGTTACATCTGAGTGACCTACTAACTTAGGATATGTAACTGAAGTTGAAGCAAATCAAAAGTTGATTGTAGACGTTCACTGGCTGATTGAGCAGATGTAATGTAATGTAATATAAGCAATATAAAACTGTGTCATCCGCATACAGATGAAATTTACATGATTCGGGGGGTTGGGGGGGGGGGGGGGAATATCATTTATGTAAATTGAAAACAATATTGGCCCCAACACTGAGCCCTGTGGTACACCTTTAGTAATATTACAATTGGAATCGACATCATCCATCTTTACACATTGCAGTCTGTCGGAGAGGTAGTTTTCAAACCATAGGCAGCTGAATCAAAACCAATACGGGACATTTTGCTATCCAAGGCTCGTGTAATATCATTTAGAACCCAGGAGGTTGGAGATATGTGCATTGGCCTAAAACCAGACTGTACTGACATCTTTGTACAGGGAGTAGATGTATTTATAACTGGCAGTGTTCGGAGGTAACGTGTTAGTTTTGAAATTCAAGTAATCAGTTATTTAGTTGCCATTAATTCCACATTCTTGAAACGTGATGTAACATCACTGTAGTTGCCTTCAAAGAAGAAGTGAGCGCCACTGCTCGGCTTAAACTGAGAGGCAGAGACACAGCAGGGATTTATTTTGTTTCTGTCAAGTTTGAATGAAGTGTGTTTTACGATGGGTTAACAAGGGGATTAAGCGAAAGTCTTAGCTCGGTGAAAGAGAGAAACTTGGATTGGTATTTTGCCTATTTTTTAGATATGTATAAAGGTAGTGAAGTCCCTGCTTTGGGGTGGGGACGCTGAAGTATTCTACTTTTCTCTGTAGGTTGTAATGTGAATCCAGCAATCCTCGCCTTCCAAGGCAATGGAGATAGTGCACAAAAGCTTGTTTGGTCGTGACTGCAAAACCTCACCTTGGTGCGTTCATGTCTTGCCACAAGTAGGTTTACGTATACAGAATTTATACGTTATTGAAGAGACGTCACTGTTATCTCGAATCTCAGCTATGACCTTGGTCCATTCAATGTCATCAAACCCAACAGAAGCAATGGCCAAAACTACAAAAACACCCGAGTTGTAATCATCTGGAGTTATCCTTGAAGCCTCTATGAGCAACCCGAGGACAAGATAATGCACTGTAATGTAACTGTAAAGTCTACATGCAGGGCTTTAATGGTGCTGATGTTTTTGTCAGTTCACATCCTCTGACACTGACTCAGCAGCAGCAGGCTGCAAGTCACGGCTTCCCGCTGCTGATCAGACTTGTTACCAGTAACAGTGTTGGTGTCACTCGAGGCAGGGATGTATTTTGCACTGTCTGTGTGTGGTAGTATCGCATCCAAGCTGTATTGTTTTTGCACTGTGTGACGTCCTTGTGGGACAACAGGAAGATGTTTGCAACGATGCCTGCTCTGTAAGCATTTCTTTAGAATTTGGCCACACCGTGTGGCAGAGTGTTTCTTATGTGCATAGTTAAACTGAAACAGACTGAACTCCTCTCACTGGAACTGCATTGCTTATGCACTTATTCTCTCAGTGGTTTCTTACTGCCTGATTTTATCCACAAACTCCATTTATTTTCTTTATTGTGATCACCTATGGCTTTATCTCAGTATGATAGATAGTGTGAGCTACTGGGCTGATTGTTTAAGTGGATATATAAAGACATATATATACTTAATGTCAAACTTGGTATGCCTGTATTTTACACTTGTAGATTCATATTTATTAGTTTCCAAACTCTGTTTAAGGTGCAAACATGGATTAATTTATGCTCTTGGCTGTAGCTCACATCATCAAAGACATGTTCAAGACGTGTGCATTTCCAATAATTTAATTTAACAATGAGGGTATTTGCATACTGACTTTGTAATGTGTTTTAATATCAGATTAAAACAGAAAAATAACAAGTGTGAGTGGTCGTGTCAGTGTTTCACCACCAGAGGGCGCTGTGTGCTCACTCCACCACGGGCTGAAACTGGAGATGAGGGTTACAGCTGCAATAATAGATGGTAGAAATAGTCTGCTGTAATCTCTGACTTCTCCATGTGTCAGGCTTATTGCAGTGTACGGTGTAATCTGCACTGTCACGGATGCTGTCCGTGATGGGCAGGCCTCTCTAGAGGCTGAGCCGTGCTGACAGGGCACCAGGGCTCGCTGGTTATTACATTTCCCTCTTCTTGTAGCCCCTAATAGTCCCAGACAGGCTGCATGAGGGGAGAGGCATGAGGGTTTGGGTTATACAAGCACAAAAACAGGCGCATACATAAACCGGAGGACTGAAATAGACACCAGGATGAACTGATTATAGGTGTGTTGAGTACCAAAGGGAAACATCAGCAGCTGAATGTAAAGCCGCTGGGGGCCAGGTGAGGGCTGAGAGGTTGAAAAACTGAACCGCAGGGGTCATTGTGTGGTGTAGGAGGAGTGGGATATGCTGTCTGAGTAAATTACAGAGACGTTCTGTAAGCACCAGATTGTGTTTCCTCACATGTCGTGCACAGGACAAAGAGAACAGGAGCAGCAGAAGCATCAGTTACATGTCGGAAACGTCTGAGAGACTCCTGAGGGTTTGTAAGGCTGTTAAAAGAGAGGCCAACGCGGCTGACATTTTGTCAGTATCACCTCAGATATAGCATGTTAAGCTGAGAATAGATACACCAGCGTGACATCTTGTAGTCAGTGAATCTCACAGGAAGGACTGCTTGGAGCTCTATCTATAGCATCGCAGGAGGGAAACAGACTCATAAATTCTGTCATCATACTCCAGCAGATTAAACACATGTGCTTGAAGTGACAAAAAAATCAGCTTTTTTTTTTAGGTTCATTTACATCAATTTGCATATTTAGTCTACACATGCTGACTGTAAGATACCCTGCTAATGAACTGGAACTGTTGTTGTTGAACCCATTATCATGAGGTCCCTAAAGCAACACCTACCAGGTCTGTCACCTTTTTTTTTTTTGCAGTTTCCTTCAGACCATGATCAGCCTGAGATTGTTCCCCTTCACTATAGTCGACATATTTTCCAATGTGGTGCCATACAGCTGCACTCTGTGTCTTGGGGCTGTCATGTGAGGTTGTTCTGTAGTTTCTGGTGCCTCTGCTGCCTCACTTGGGTCGCAAGTTGCAACTGTTGCTGTAGATTAAAGGTCCAGTGTGTAGAAGTGGCGTCTAGCGGTAAGATTGCCGAACTGAAATCTCTCCTGTGTTCCAAGCATGTAGAAGAACAACACACAAAAACACAAATGGCCCTGTCTGGAGCCAGAGTCTGATTTGTCTGTTTGGGCGACTGTAAAAAAAACATGGTGGAATCCATGGAAGAGGACCCACTCTGTCAACATAAACATCTCATTCTAAAGGCCCTGACACACCAAGCTGACGGTTGGCCATCGACCAAAGTCGGGCTGTCGATGAGCGTCTGTCGCCCTAGTTTTTGCGGTGTGTCCTGCACTGTCGGCACTTCGGCGGCGGCTTTTCGGCTGATTGAGCATGTTGAATCAGTGGCAGAGCTTGTCAGTGAGAGAGATCACTCTGATTGGCTGTTCAGGTTTTATTTCCTTGCCCCTGTAGCGAGTGAATCTGCCTGTAGTGAAACCGGGGCTAACTGGTGCTTCCTCCTCAGGCTCCACTTCACTCAGCTGCCCAACAGACCCGCTGCTTCTTCCCACCTGATTAACAAACCGGAGATAGCTGTGAGGCTAGTGGAGTGTTAGCCGCAGCATGACCGGAGGGAAGCACAGCCAGTTAGCCTCCGCTAGTCTCTGAGCTAGCCCCGGCTCTCCTTTTGGATCCAACCGGAGCACTTAGCCCTGGTTTGTTATTCAGGTTAAAGTGAGAAGAAGCAGCGGGTTTATCGGGCAGCTGAGTGAAGTGGAGCCTGCGGAGGAAACACCGGGACCTTCTGGATGTAATAGTCCGTGGAGGTGCTGCAGTGCTTGGCTGCACAGATAGGAAACCCCTCGGCTGACAGGATGTACCACTCTCTTACTCCACTCTCTCTCACGCAGGCGCAGAACATACGTGCTACTTGGCTGTTGGATGTAGTCCGTGTAGTGTGTTCAAATGCAACTGACACAGAGCGACGTGAGGCGACGTAGACGACGCAACAGTTGGCTTTCGTCGACGCTAGTTCTTTGATGTCGGTTTGGTGTGTCCTCACCTTAAGGTAACAAACCACGAGAATTCTTAGTTTCAAGTCCCTAGTGTATTGGTTAGAGCACTCCTCTTCCATGTGGAAGGTTCTAGGGTTTGAATCCTGCTGGGGTCAATGGCAGCAAAGGCAGGCAGTGGCAAGGGGTTCCCACCACTGAATCAAACGGGATCAGATTCCTTAAGGAGGCTTCAGGATTAGAAGTAACTCTGGAATCTGAGCCAAGTCATCAATGAGGGCGTGTCTCAAGTCCGCTGTAGACAGGAGGTTCCAGACGTGAGAACGGATTCATACACTAATAAAAAATATCTATGAATATTATATACCATTTCTGACAATAGATGCCCCTAAATCTTACACTATGGACATGTAAGGCAGCTGCTTTTACAC